ACTGGCCAGGGCAAATTTTTTTAATTTTTCAAAGAGTACGTATGTGAAAACATTGATGGTAACTTTAAATCTTGCATATAATTAACATACCATGTGGGACAGGGGAAGGGAATAAAGTGCAACCATTCCGACGGAAAGCTGGAAAAGTGAAAAGAAAACCCACAAAGAAAGTAGAAATCAGTCTAGGTGCACTTTCCCTCTTGGGACGCCCACGCCTCTCCCTTCCCCCACTTCTTCCCCTCTAGGCATGTCACCGTTGCTTTCTGACTCCTAAGCTCCAAGGGCCCTTTTGCTTCTGTAACTTGTTTCCTGAGCCTATGCAGCCCAGCTGACTCACTTCTACTATCTGTGTGAATTTCTGAATAAACTTTCTCTTATCATGTGAAAAAAAAGAAAAAGAAATCAGTCTAAATATACACATTACTAATCATTGTCCTATTAAACATAAACAGACTTAATCCAAACTAAAAATTCTCAAACTGGATTTCTGTTTTAAAGAGACTCACCTATAACTAAACACCCAGCAAGTACAAAAGTGAAATAAAGAGGTGGTTATCAAAAGGATGAGGAGCCAGCTTAAAGCTTTGGCCAAAGGTACGGAGTTGGAGTATAAACAGAAAAGTGATTCTATGTCCGGTAACAGTTACTCTAAGCATACTTTTATTGATTGAATAAATGAATGAATTAGTGAAGGGCGGGGCCTTAGGGTGGGTCTGGGTGGTGCAAGGGCCTTATTGTATCAAGTTTTACATTTAAAAACCCAGTGTTTCACCACAAGAAGACACTAAAGAAACTGCCTTTTCAGAGAGACACATCTGCAGGCTTAAAAATGGGCACTCGGAGGGCCTTCAGGACAGGTAAGCAGGGGTGTGGGAACTGGGGTGCAGAATGTGGGGTTTCAGTGGTCAAAAAGGAATCAAAAGCTCAAAGGAGCAAGATTAAAGGATGCAAATCACCCAGCTCCATTCCCTTTGAGGGAGATGGTAGAGAGGGGGTTGTAAATTGAGGGAGGAAGGTCTGATTGCCTCATGGAAGTCATGTAAATGTGAGACAGGGTTGGTGTCTCCTTTCAGGGCTCCCATACTTTCCTAATTAGTGCTGGCCTAGCCTTGCAATATCCTCATTAGAAGCTCAATCATGGCAGCAATTTTTGGGCGTTTTATTCACTGCAGAATCACCAGACCTAAATAAGTGCCCACTGATAAATACTTGCTGAGTAAATGCAGTGTCCCTACTCTCTTGTCTCTTTATAACCATGATCCCAGAAGACACCCGAGGCCATTTAAAACGTGCTTCTTTGTTTATTTAATATGCTAGTTTAAGCTGTAGACTCTCAATGCCCTTCCAGGAAAGCGACAGAAGGTTCATCTATAAGAGTATAATGCCCTGGCCGGCTTGGCTCAGCGGTAGAGCGTCGGCCCTCGGACCGATGAGTTCTGGGTTCGATTCCAGCCAAGGGCATGTACCTCGGTTGCAGTTCATCCCCGGCCCAGGTCGGGGTCATCTGGGAGGCAACCAGTTGATGTGTCCCTCTCACATTGATGTTTCTCTCTCTCTCCCTCTCTCTCTCTACCTGAAGATAAATAGAAAAATATCCTCAAGTGAGGATTAAAAAAAATTTTCAAAAAAAAAGAGTATAATAACAATTGTATTTTAACCCATGAGTTTGTTGAGGATTAAATTAAGACAGGCCAGTAAACCAGGACAAATGGAATAGGGAAACTGAGGCAGATAGATAGCACTTTGTAGCCATTTAGAAAATGTAGATGTCAAGTAGTTTTCAGCTATTTAGTAAATTTTATCTTCTCTAAATCAGGGACAGGTAAGAGTAAATGGTTTGCACTTTTTTCCCAACCAGAGGGGAAATAGCTTAAATCACCCTATTCAGGGAGATAAACAGCAGAAATCCAATTAGTACCATTTGCCAACCACATCCAAGGACAGATGTAATTAAGAGAATAAATCTTATTTTGGTATATTAGTATAAAGCTGATAAATATTCTAGTGAAAATTTTCCCTAATACCTCCTCTAAACACCCAGCCTTTAAAACCACTCAAAACAAAGGTCCCAGTGTAAGCTTTCCCTCCTAGGAGCATGCCCACACCACCCCTTTTTCCCCCACAGGTATGCATCTTCTAAACTCTGAGGATCCCCATCAGGCTTGCAGCCAGGGCAGCAGTGGGCAATTTCAGTTCATCCAAGGTAAACCCCAAGGTCCTCTTTTCTGACTTCTTTTTTTTTTTTTTATTCTCACCTGAGAACATTTTTCCATTTTTATTCAGATAGAGTGGGAGGGAGAGAGAAACATCGACCAAGGCCGAGGACAAATTGCAACCGAGGACCATACCCTTGACCGGAATCGAACCCGTGACTCATTGGTCCAAGGGCAAACAATCTAACTGCTGAGCCAAACTGGCCAGGGCTTCTCTGACTTCTTAGTGAGCCAAAGCAGACCAACCTAGGATCATTTCCCAACCCTTTCTTGTTTCACTGTCCCCAGCTTTAATAAATGTCCTCTAAAATTCACCTGGACTCGTGTTGTGAAACTTTTCCCTGCACAAAATCAAGAACCCACACACTACTGCCTGGCCCTAGGCAGACCTGCTCAGGGCCAGGTCCCCTTTCCGGTAACAAAATAGATCATGTTTATGAAACATTTAGATGCCTGACACTTGGAAAACATTTCCAAATGTTGTTGCTATTATTATATTGCATAGCATTCTAATAATATTATTGCATGGTACTGCATCATTAATTACTACATTTACTCAGAATTATATTGAAGAACAGATGCTTAGCTGAGTTTAATTTCTCTTTGATTAAATGTCAGGCCCTGGCCTCATCCTCTGTTACTGCTTTTCAGATTTTTTGTTCTCAACCTCTTTACATTCTTAAACATTACTGAGAGCTCAAAAGAGCTTTAGTTTCTGTAAGTTGTATCTATAGTCATTTACCACATTACAAATTTAGAAAAATATTTATTGACTTCAAAATAAAATGATAAGGGCATTACATGTTAACTTTATTTTCTAAACAGAAAAATCAGTGAGAAGGATGTCATTGTTTTACATTATAGGTACTTTATCAGGCTTCATAGAAGGCAGCAGAATTATCTTCCACTTTTGCATTCATCTTCTGTGATATATTTTTATTGAAAGTGGCCTTATGTAGATGATATTGAAATCTGACCTTACACACATAATGGTGTTAGCAAAAAAAAGGAGTATTCTAATAGCCTTTGTGATAATTGTGGATAGTCTTTGAAACTAAAATAATCTTAATAAGTGGTAATTTCTTTTTTTTATTTATTTATTTTTTTGGTGGTATGTGCCCCTAGTGGGAACCGAACCCAGGACTCTCCGGTCCACAGGCCAGTGCTCAATCGCTGACCCAAACTGGCCAGGGCAAGTGGTAATTTCTTAAACATTAGCTGCTATGTGAAATTTGAAATTACATCAATAAACTTTTCATAATCTGTCACATTAAAATCCGTTGTTTACATTGCACTTTGAGTGGATCTTTTATCCATGCATGATTTTGTAACATCGGTTTTGTTTTTTGTTTTTTAATATTTTTTCTTTATTGAGTTTAGAGAGAGAGTAAGGGAGAGGGAGAGAGAGATAGAAACATCGATCAGAGAGAACATTGACTGGCTGCCTCCTGCACACCCCCACTGGGGATCAGGCCCACAATCTGGGCATGTGCCCTGACCGGGAATCAAACTGAAGACCTCTTGGTGTGTGGATCAATGCTCAACCAGTAAGCCGCACTAGCCAGGCAACAGTTTTTTATTTTGTTCTGTTTTGTTACAAAATTTTGGTCTACTGAATTATGCTCTTCTAAATGTATTCCACTGGAAATTCGTGGCAGAATGAGTGTTAAAAAGCAAATACCTTAATATTATGAAGATAACTTAGACCTCAGAAACCCCTGAAAAGATCTTAGGGAGCTCCAAGGGCCTTCAGAGCCCACTTTGAGAAGTGCTGCCCTAGATAATCCAAACTTTCATAGTAATTGCCGCTCTCTATCTCTCTCGATACCATTTTGTCTCTCAGTCTCTCTTGTGTAAACACATTTCAAGCAAAAACAAAAAAAACTATATTCCCCTCCCATTGACACATCACTTCCTCATAGCCAGCTGTCCCCAAAGGTATAATAAAGGGACAATAAAGAACAGAAAAATAAATGGGTAAATAAAATTATTATTGCTTCTAGAAAGAAAAACATATAGTACTAAGAGCTAAGAGTCCATTGTGAAGTGGTTTGGGAAGAGAACGACGGCTTCTGAGAAAGATAGGAGACTGGGTATTGAGAAGTTGTGAAGTAGGACAGAATAGTGGGAATGAGCGTGTACAAATGCCAGAAAAGGGCAGTTCATGACTTGTTCAAAGAACTGAAAGAAATCCAGTGCAGCCAGAATGCAGACAGTCAAGAGAGGGGTGCTCAGCTAGTGCCACTTTTGAGTCCAAGACCCAGATACAAATGGATGCCCACACGCCATATATCATAAGTATTTTTTTCCCTAAAAATTTTTTTTCTTGATTTTTAGAGAGAGAGGAGGAGGAGAGAGAGAGATAGAAACATCGATGAGAAAGAACATCAATTGGCCTCCCCTGCATGCCCCGCCTGGGGATTGGGCCTACAACCTGGGCATGTGCTCTGACCAGGAATCAAACCAGCAACCTGTTGGTGCATGGGTCAGTGCTCAACCACTGAGCCACACCGGCTGGACTTTAAAGTTATAAACCAAGCTATCAAACTGTTAAGTAAAGTATGTTCTACCTGCCCACCTTGACAATATATCTTCCAGGAAGCTGAGATTCAAATTTTGAATTCTTGGGTTTGTTGAAGTTCCACATCAGAACAAGGCAATGGAGGAACAGTTAGCCACAGCCCCTTTTCCACCATTTTTACCCATCTGTATGGAAGACCCTGTCTCTACCGACACCCCTTGACCAACAGTCCCCCTCAGGCCAGGGTGGGGGTACATATCGACAGCATGTTCTCCTTTCAGGGGCATGAATTCAGGGAAGAGGCTGTGTCTGCTCAGGACTGTTTGGCAGAAAGTCCTGTGGTCTCTGGTACCTGGAGTATAATTTAGAAGTGGATAAGTGTTCCAGGTGGCCATGACAGTTTTGTTTTGTAGACTCGTACCCAGTCAGGAAGGGGACATACAGAAAGAGCCAGAAAAGAAGCATTTTTAATTATTTTTGTTCTGTTCTATTTTTTTAATTAATCTATTGGGGTGACAATGGTTAATAAAATTATATAGGTTTCAAGTGTACAATTCTAGAATACATCATCTATATATTGCATTTTGTGCCCACCACCCAGAGTCAAATCTTCTGTCACCATATATTTGACTCCATTTATTTGTTACTACCCCCCCACCCCTTCCCTGTGGTAACCACCATACTTTTGTCTGTGTCTATGAGCTTTTGTTTGCTTGTTCATTTGTTGCTTTCAGTTTTTAATCCCACATATGGATGAAATCATATGGTTCTTAATTTTTTCTGACTTCGCATAGCATGATATTCTTAAGATCCGTCCATGTTAAGAGAAGCCCTTTGAATCCTTGCTACTGTCTAAGTCTTATTTGCAGAGAAGTAATATCAGCATCATCTGGGAGCTTAGTAGAAATGCAGGATCTCAAGCCCTACCCCAGACCTATTAAATCAGACTCTGTATTTTTAACAAGATCCCTAGGTGATCTGTATACCTAGTGAAGTTTGAGAGACACAGAACTCAATGAAGGGACTCAAGACAAGGGCCACTTTTTCCAGGTCTACCACACTGCCCGGCAGCACAGCCTGTTCCTAGGCTCCCTAGCCAGGGTCAGTGAGGATGTGGGATTTGTCCCACTTGCACTGGGAAGGCATGGAAGGGTTCTGAGAAATCCAGTTACAAGATCTGAATTACTTTTTTTTCAATAACAGCAGACCTCATCTTTGAGCATTACACTGAAGCAAGCTTTGTGATTTACATTTAGGCACTCAGTAAATCCTCACTATAGCCTTTGTGAGGTAGAGATTACAATTATTTTCAGGGAAGTTTAGGGAAGTAAGGTCACTTTTTGTAATTCACAGAGGTAGTATGAGTGACCTGGGATCCAAATTCCAAAAGCCTTGGATACATTGCATTCCCAGAAATTATGAGATTATCACTCTCCACCTCCTACTCTATTCCATAGACCTACCAATGCAGCCCTCTAGTGCCCAGATGAACAGAGGAGCCCCTGGGACTCCCCACACCCACTCTTTTGTCTACATGAGTGATTACAGCATTGACATGCTACAGCAAGACAAGGTTGATCAAAGTGAGTGCAACCCTCTTCCTTCCCTCCAGTCTCACTCCCACATCCGTGGGAGCCTATCATTCTTGAAGGAGGGACAGTTAACAGTCAAATGAATTCCAATTGCCTCTGGGGTGGGCTGAATCCCATTTTCCACGATGGATTAACTGCTAACAAGATTGAGTGGCTTAGTCTGGGTCTTCTAAGAAGCAAATGTCAAGACGGGATTAAAAAAAACCTACAAGGATTTTAGTAGGGGACATGCCTATAGAGAAAATGGGGAAGAAGTCAGGGGAGGCTGGGAGAGCTATTGGACCACAACACAAATCTGACCCCTAGAGAAGAAGAAGGGAAGTTTGGGTAGAAGAATCCCTAGACCATCCACCACACAGTCTAAATTGGGCAATGTAGTTGGTGAAATCTGAATAAGCTTCATGGATTGTGCCAATGTCATTTTTCTAGTTTTAATAGTGTACTACAGTTATGCCAAATGTCACATTAGGAAACGCTGAATGAAGGATGCATAGGACCTCCCTATACAAATTTTTTTTGCAACTTTGTTGAATCTGTAATTATTTTAAAATTAAAAGTAAAACAGAAAAACCAACACTAGAAACTAACATATGTTTTCCTTTAAGTATTCATATATACTTCAAATAACTTAAAAAGAGAAAATTAGTTTATCATAATTAACCAGACATTTGCCATTTTTAAGCCTTTTTCTTCATTCTGGAAGTTCCAGTATTCCCTCTTATATTATTTCCCTCCAGCCTGAAGAATTTCTTTGAACATTTGTATAGAACAGGACTACCAGTCACAGATTCTTATAGCTTCCCTTAATCTAAGAATGACATCATTTCACCTTCATTCCTGAAGGATACTTCCCCTGGATATAGAATTCTGAGTTGATACTGGATATAGATTCTGAGTTCTTTACTTTCAGCTTAAAGATTTTGTTCCATTGACAGTCTTTCTTGGTTTCTGATGAGAAATCTATGGTCATTTGATCTAGTCTAATCATCTAATTTATCCATCTTTTCATGTATAAACTGTTTCAACAATCTCATCAAAGAAAATACCCTCTACTCTGAGTCACAAAGATATTGACACACAATTTCTTTTAATACTTTCAAAGTTTTGTGTTTGACTAATACATCTGCAGTATTTTCCTATGGTATAAATGCAAATCATTTTCCAGGAAAGGTAGAAACTCTGGAGGTTAAACTCATTTGTGTTACAACAAGCTCAGACCCCTAGAAAACATTGCTTTGCTGTGAATGAATGACTTCCACAGTGTCCCCTTTTTCATATAGGTTTTTCATCCCAGATGTCAGTACCTCCGATGAACAGAATGGCCCCAGAGAATCCCCAGCCAGACCTTTTTAACCACATTAATGATTCCAGCATGAACTTGATACCACAGAATCCAGCCGGTCCCAGTGAGTATAACTCTCCTTTGTCCTCCCCTCCTCCACTGTTGCCTTCTTCACATGGGGATCTATAATTGTATATTACATCTGCTTGCTTTATTTATTTATTTATTTATTTATTTATTTATTTATTTATTTTTGTGTGGTACGTGCCCCTAGCAGGAACTGAACCCAGGACTCTCTGGTCTGCAGGCTGACTCTCAACCGCTGAGTCAAACTGGCCAGGGCTATTACATCTGTTTTAAAACACCTATTGATTGTTACAGTCGGCCCTCGTTTATTGCGGTTAATCAGTTCCAGACTCTACCGCGATAAATTAATTTCCGAGAAGTAGGATTCTTTATTTATAAATCAAATATTTTCGCAGTTAGAGCATAGAAAACCTCTTCACGACCTTCTAAATATGTTTTTTTTAACATTAGAGCCTTCTAGACATGAAATAACACCCTTTAGTCACCATTACACTCATATTACCCAAAATATTAGACAAAATAAGAGTGACGAGCTTTGCTTCTTTGTTGAAAGAAACCGTAGCCATTGCACGGATGTTCTTTATATCTTTACGGATGGAGTGAATGGTAGACTCATTCAAGTTGTATTGGTGAGCAACCTCCATGATTTTCTTGTCATCTTTGATTATACCCAAGAGTTTTACCTTCTCCTGGAAGGTAGGCATCTTCCTCCAGCACTTAGTTTCATCATCAGAAGGCTTAGAAGAAGCAGCACGTTTAGGAGCCACCGTGGGGCTTAGATACAAGTTCTCAGAAATAGCAAACACAAGAGCAAAGATGCTTCCAGTGCGTAGCAATGTAGAAGTGTGTATGAGAGAAGAGAACTTGCATGTGGCTGAGCCAATCAGTGGCCAGGATAGGAAGAGGCTAGAATAGCCAATCAGTGAACAGCATGCTCTGATTGGCTTGGTTTCACCACATCCGATTTTTTGGAAAAAAGTTATCACCCACACATAAGGAGTGGTCGAGCAATTGCTCCTGGCGTTGAAGGATTCCTTGAGTGCTCAAATACAGAGGCCTACAGTCCAAACATACAGTAATTTTAATTTTAATTTAATACGGGGTGTATAATTGACTCAGACAACCGAGCACATGCTGTATCATTTTCACTGTCTCTATCAACTTTTTAATGAATATATTTGGAAAACCCGCGACAGAGTGAAGCCGCGAAAGTCGAAGCGCAAAGTGGCGAGGGATGACTGTGTATCTTCTTTTCAAAAATTGGTTTAAAAAAACATTCTCATTATAAAAGGGGAAGTTACACATTTCATATTAAACTCAAGTACCTTTGGTCCATGGTCAACCAAATTGTGATAGATAAGCTGAGAACACAAGATACAGAGCAAGTAATGTTTTTTCAGGAGAAAAGGACTGAAGCATAGAAAGAGAAATACAGAAAGCCCCTTATGCAAGACAGGATGCAATTATAATACCAGTTTTGATGTGTGGATCTCCCCCTGCCCCCAACACACACACACCAAGCAGTTCTCTCTACACTAGCTGGATGACCTACAGTTTAATCCAATTCTGACGCTATCAACCCAGAGACAAAGTCAGAGCCCACAGATTAAGGGCTCAGACCCAGAAAACTGCCCTCACTTCAAATGTCAATCACAAGTCCAGGTATCACCTGTAATTCTGACCAACTGGCTATAAATCACAGGTTCCCATGACCCCTTCCTTGGGTTCAATCAACTTGCTAGAGCAGCTCACAGAACTCAGGAACTCACTAGATTACTGGCTTATTACAAAGAATAAATATCAATAGCTTGATGAAGGGATACATAGGACAGGATACCAAACAAAGGAGCTTCTGTCCATACAGAGTTTGAACCCAGCATGGTAGCATGTGGATTCATTCTGGTTCACTAAACCAGAAGCCCAGAAGCTCTCTGAACCTTATCCTTTTTTTTTTTCTTTTGGTCTCTCTTTGTGGTTATTGGTCTATTCAGGGTCTACAATCGCAGTATTCAGGGTCTACAGTTGCAGTTCTTTTTAAGAAAATTTTGGTAATTGTAGTTCCCTAGAAAATTTATAAAAATTTTCTTTTTCTCTTCATTGCCATTAAAAATATATTCTGTCACCTTTTAATCATCTCCACGTATTTAGTTATGTCTCATTTCTTATGAACCTTTTCCCAGAGGAGTGAATAGAGCTTCTGAAAGCCTGGAAAGAAACAAAAACTAAACAAAACAAACAACAACAAAAATTCTACATTGAAAATAGACTGGGTTCCTGAATGAATAAGTGAAGAGAGGAAACTTGTTTTGAAGAGTGTGTTATATTTAGGTGCAGGGACATGGGATTTCTTCCCAGTTTCTAAAAGAAACAAAGTGTGAAAAAAAAAAGAGGGAAGCCACTGTCCACTGTCCTGAGGTTAAGGTAAGGTAGCAGACTGAGTACATACAAAAAGGATTTTCTGCTTTTAGTGCAAGGCAAACTGAAACTCAAGGGAGCCAGTTTCCAGAGCAAACAGACTGGGTACAGAGAAAACTGAACAGGTAACATTTCCTAGTAGAGATGAACTAAATCTCAGAAAACAGGACAGAGAGCGCTGGATCCCAAGCCTGGTTGGAAGAAAATCATGGGAGAGTCATGGCTGTAGTTTTTTGGAGGTTTTGAGGAGAGGAGTTAGTGTTAGTGTAACCACCTCTCTCCATCTCTGCTCTACAGCAACATTGAAGAAGCACCCAAAACGCACCTCATTCATGCAGACGCAACACGAACAGTTGGAGGCTCTATTTAGCTACACCATGTTTCCAGATAAAAATCTCCAGAAGGAACTCGCCTTGAAACTCAACCTCCCAGAGTTAACAATAAAGGTCTGTCTGATCCCCTAAGCTATGTCTTGTACCCGCATCCAAACCACATTCTATTAGGCCTAGAAATTCCCTCCATAACACAATAATATCTCACCTATTGAGTACCTATTGTGTGCTAGTACTGAACGAGGCACATTGCATATGTTGGCCCCACTATCATCAAGTTTAAAAGAAAAAAAAGTCACTTTGTGCCTGAACCACAGAGTTAATAAGTGGCATAACTGGAATTAGAACTCCAGAGATCTTGTACTATAAAGCTCAAATAGAGGAAAAACTCATCCAGACATGCTCCTCACTTAGGGTCTTCCCAGGCAAAACCCTTCCATCTGTTTGTTCTCAATCTCTGAGTCCGCTACACCCCCCCCCCAATTTTTGTTTGGAGTAATCTTTACAGTAGGGGCCTTCTAAATAATCCTTAAAAGTCCTTTAGTTCAATTTCCCTACCTCCTCCTGAACCAGCTTTTCTTCACTAGAGTTCAGGACCCTTTCTCTGAAGCCCTAACACAACCTCTGAACATACTCCGCCCCCTTCTTTCCATTTTCCTTCTCTGGGGTCCCAGTCCTGATCCCTTACTGTCCCTCCTTATTAACGCCACTCATGTACATTGCTGCTCTCTCAGAAATCAGTGTCATGGTGACTTACAGAGGATATGAGGGTTATAATCTAGCTTGAGAAGCTTCAAACACCTCCATTAACAGATCATAATCTCCCTTTTTCCCCAATTCGCAGACTTGGTTCAGGAACCGACGAGTCAAATTGAGGAAGGAGCAGCAACAGCAGCAGCTATCACTAAAGCAACCTAATCAGATTCTTCCAGCCAAGAATGTGCCCACCTCACTCACATCATCACCCAGTCCTTATTCTTTATTTCCTGTAGTTCCAGATTCCCATAGCTTCCTTCCACCTCAGCCCTTAGGCCCTTCCAATTTGGCACAAGACTCTGTCATCACTGAGAGTCCCACAAGCGATGTCCAAATGCAAGATCCTCAGTTGGAGGGGCTGGAGGCCTCCATTCCTGCTTTGTTCCCTGATACTTATACCATAGAGAAAATCATGGAACTGCACAGTTTTTCTGATGAGGATGAAATATACGACTCTTTCCACTGTCTATATCAGTATCTCTCACCCACAGACCCCAGCTAGAAGAAAAGTGTTCTCTTAGCATCTTTGCTGATGCAGCTTTAGGTCTATCGCTTGGGCAAACCTTATCCACTATGACAAGCCGAGGCCATTCAGCCTACAGTCTAAGAAAAAGCTTGGAATTCCAGAACCCCTCCAGTATGGTGGACTTTGGATTTCTCTGATCAAAATATTAATAAATACACGACTGTACAGAAAAAAGGATCTTCTTATGTCTTGTGCATGCCTCTCTTCTTTCTTTTGTTTACTTCTTTTTTTTTCCTTAGAGAATTCTATGTTTTATTTCTTTTTTTTTAAAATTTTTTAATCTTTATTGTTGAATGCATTACAGATGTTCCTCATTTTTCCCCCATTGACCCCCCTCCTCCCCACTCCCACCCCCCTCCCACCTTTTCCCACACTATTGTCTGCGTCCATTGGTTATGCATATAAGTTCTTTGGTTTATTTCTTCCCACCCCCTAACCCCCTTTCCCTTTGAGGTTTGTCAGTTTGGCAATGAATTTGTACTTCTTAATCCCTTCACCTTTTTCACCCATTCCCCCAACCCCCCTCCCATCTGGCAACCAACAAAATGTTCTCTGTATCTATGAGAGTGTTTCTGTTCTGCCTTTTCATTTTGTTTGTAGATTCCATTGTCGATGGATATGTATTCATTGCCATTTGGTTTGTTCATATATTTTATCTTTTTCGTCAAAAAGACCCTTCATCATTTCATATAATAACAGTTTGGTGGTAATAAACTCCTTTAGCTTTTCCTTGTCTGGGAAAATCTTTATATGGCCATTGATTCTAAATGACAGCTTTGCAGGATAGAGTAATCTTGGTTGTAGGTCCTTGCTTTTCTCACTCTGAATATTACTTGCCACTCCCTTCTGGCCTGCAAAGTTTCTTTTGAGAAATCAGCTGACAGCCTTATGGGAACTCCCTTGTAGGTAACTAACTGCTTTTCTCTTGCTGCTTTTAAGATTCTCTCTTTGTCCTGAACCTTTTGCATTTTGATGATGATGTGTCTTGGTGTTCATCTTGTTTGGGACTCTCTGTGCTTCCTGGATTTGTATGTCTCTTTCCTTCGCCAAATTAGGAAAGTTTTCTGCCATTATTGTTTCAAACTGGTTTTCAATTTCTTGTTCTCTCTCTTCTCCTTCTGGTACCCCCAAGATGCAAATGCTGGCACGCTTGAAGTTGTTCCAGAGGCTCCTTACACTATCCTCATTTTTTTGGATTCTTTTTCTTTTTGCTGTTCTGATTGGGTGTTTTTTGCTTTCTTGTATTCCAAATCAATGGTTTGCTTCTTGGATTTACGTACTCTACTATTGAATCTGTGTAAATTATTCTTTATTTCAGTTAATGCCTCCTTCATTTCTGACTGTGCATCCATCATTTTTGACTAGTCCTTTTTGATGCTCTTGAGGCCCTCACTAAGTTCATTGAGCATCTTTATAAGCAGTATTTTGAACTCAGCATCTGTTAGGTTGCTTATCTCCATTTCGCTTAGTTCTTTTCCTGGGGTTTTGTTCTGGTCTTTCATTTGGGACATGTTTCTTTGTCTCCTCATTTTGGCTGCCTCCCTGTGTTTGTTTCTGTGTATTACTTAACAAGAAGTATGGGGCTAGCTGAGACCAGATGCTGCTTGTTTGAAAGAATTTAGGAAAACCTGAAGCAGAATCCAAGATAGGCCAATCCTATGGTTAAGCAACTGGCAACAGCTTGGGTGGACCTGAAAGTTGGGTGGGGCGGGGCCTCAGGGAATCAGCAGGGCGGGGCTAAAAACAGTTTAAGCCAGGTTGCTGGAGTCCCAAATATGGTGACTATCTGCTGTCCCAGGGAAGGGCTCACCAAAGGAACAAAGGCCTCTGACAGCATGCCTGTCCCGGGGAAGCCCCCTCTCTAGCCCTCACTCCAGTGCCAAACAGCTCAGTTCTTCCCTGTATGTCTCTGGTGCCCCTCGAGCTGCCTCCCCTCCAAGCTTAGAGGGAGTGAGTTTGACAAGTCCATGCACGGCCCTTTAAGAGGAGCTGCCTGGGGCTCCAGCCGAGCCTCAGTTCCCACTGGTTTTTCCAGCCAGAAGTTATGGGGACTTCTCTTCCTAGCACTGGAACCCTGAGCGGGGCATCTGGTGTGGGACGAGGACCCCTCAGTCCTCAGGGAGGACCTTCCCAGCCAAGGTGTCCTCCTGATTTTTATCTGCCACACATGGGTGTGGGACCAGCCCCTCTGCCCCTCCGCCCTCCTACCGGTCTCGATACGGCTGCTGCTTTAATTCCGTAGTCGTAGGACTTCCATTCAGCTTTATTTCAGGCGGTTTTGAATGATGGTTGTTCTGTAGTTTAATTGTAACTTTGATGTGGTTGTGGGAGGACACGATACCACATTTACCTACGCCGCCATCTTGACCGGAAGTCTCCTACTTTTTTTTATAATTTTATTTTATTTTTGTTACAGAGGTTTTTCCTTTTCTTTGTTTACTTCTTAACCCAGATATCTGGGTTGGTGTCACTTTGATGTCCATGGAAATGTAAAAACTAAGAGTTTTTTCCAAGTATAGCTCAGTGCTACACAATCAACCTGTCAACTCTGCCTGGGAAGAGGCCATTTTATATCCAAGCTTTATGTCTAGGGTTTTCTAACGGGTAGTTTTAGTCAAAATTTAAGGGGAAATCACCATTAGTTTTAATATAGTATGAATCCATATGTATTAAGAAATGAAAAATCAGCATAAAAAGATTTTTTGAAGATGAGATGATCATTAGAAAAATTAACAAAATCAGAAGTTAAACTTTCAGACTGATAAGCAAGTTTTCCAGCTAAATGATCAACCTACAAAATTAATAGCATTTCTCAAAACCAGTCATTAAACACATAATAAAATAAGTATCTCTTCGTTAAAAATATGAAGTATCTAGGAATTAAGAAAGAAAACCAAAACTTGAATAAAGGACAGGAATGTTTTGAATAAAAGGCATTTGAGGTTATAAAATAATAAATTTAAAAGGACAGAAATTATATAAAGTATGTTGTCCAAACACAATGGAATGAAATTATAAATCAATACGTACAAGAAGAAAATTCAGGACATACACAAATACATGGATATGAAAAAACACACTCCTAAATAACCAATGGGTAAGGAAGAAATCAGGAAAGTTAGGAAATACTCAGATATGAATGAAACAAAAATATGGGTCCGAATGGTGGCATAGGTAAATGTATCGCCTCCTCCCACAACCACATCAAAATTAAAAATAAACTGCAGAACACACATCCTTCAGAACCTCCTGATATCAAGCTAAATGGAAGTCCTACAACTACAAAATTAAAGAAGCCACATGGAGACTGGTAGGAGGGGCAGAGGTGGGGGGGGGGGTCTGGTGGGTCCCACACCCATGTGTGGCAGATAAAAATCAGGAGGGATATCTCTGCTGGTGAAGGTCGACCCTGAGAAGTGAGTGGTCCCTGTCCCACACCAGGCACCAAGCTCAGAGTTCCAGTGCCAGGAAGAGAAGTCCCCATCACTTCTGGCTGTAAAACCAGCGGAACTGAGCTGAGGCTGCTGGAGCCCCAGTCAGTTCTTCTTAAAGGGTCCACACACAAACTTACTAGTACCCGCTCACTCTGAGCTCCAGCGCAGAGGGAGGCAGCTTCAAAAGCATCAGAGACATACAAGGAAGAACTGAGTTGTTTGGCAGCAGGGTGAGGGCTGGAGAGGCAGCTTTCTCCTGTACCCATGTGCTGGTGGAGGCCATTGTTCCTTTGATGAGCCCTTCCCACACAGGGCAGACAGCCACCATATCTGGTACTCCAGCAATCTGGCTCACACTGGTTACCCCACCCTAATGATTCCCTGAGGCCCTGCCCCACCCAACTTTAGGCCCACCCAAGCTGTTTCCAGTGGCTTTACCATAGGATTGGCCTGTTTTGACTCCTGCTTCAGATTTTCCTAAATTCTCTCAAACAAACAGCATCTGGCCACAGCGGGCCCCATACCTCTCACTAAGTAGCCCCAGGCCCAGCACTAGAAGCAGCCAGCCGTGGTTCACAGCTTGGCTTCGCCTGGGCACCTCCAAGCCCAGCACGAGAAGCAGCCATTGGCAGATTTCTTTGTAGCTTATGCCTAGTGGCCCTGGGTAGAACACAGGCAGTGGCTGACCTTGCCCCAGAGCCAGCACACCCAGTGAACAGCTTCAGACCATGTCAAAGCACCACCACCCACCCACCTCCAAAAGTGACACACTCAAGGAAAGAATTCAGGGGGGTACTAGAGCACTGCTGAAGTAAGTCTTGCTCTGTGTGGTGGGCCCCTGCACAGCTGATCATCCAAGGAAGTCAGAGGTCGGTGGATAGGGAAACAGCCAGTCCTTTCAGCTGATCAGCCTGAGTAAAACCCTCCCATTGATGTGCCACAGCAATTAAGACTAAATTACAAGAGTGTAAAGTCCACATGAGGGGTGCACCTTGAGGGCCCAGCTGGGTGATCAGGGAGGCTGTGCCACTGGACCCTACAGAATGCCTACTACAACAGGCCACCCTAGGAAGCCTAGCAGACATAACAACTCTACCTAATACATAGAAACAAACACAGGGAAGCGGTCAAAAGGAGGAGACAAAGAAATATGTCCCAAATGAAAGAACAGAACAAAACTCCAGGAAAAGAACTAAATGAAATGGAAATAAGCAATCTAACCGATGCAGAGTTCAAAACACTGCTTATAAGGATGCTCACTGAACTTAGTGAGGGTCTCAAGAGCAGAGTAAAGGATCAGTCAGAAATGAAGGATGCACTAGCTGAAATAAAAAATAATTTACAGGGAATCAATTGTAGAGTAGGTGAAGCCAAGAAGCAAACCATCTCTTTGGAATATAAGGAAGCAAAAAACAGCAAAAAGAAAAAATAATCCAAATAAACAAGGATAGTGTAAGGAGCCTGTGGGACAACTTCACGCATACCAACATTCACATCATGAGAGTGCCAGAAGGAGAAGAGAGATGGCAAGAAGTTGAAAACCTATTTGAAAAAATAATGTCAGAAAACAGACATAAAAGTCCAGTTAGCAAAGAGAGTCCCAAATAAGATAAACCCAAAGAGGTCCACACCAAGACACATCATCATCAAAATGCAAAAGGTTAAAGACAAAGAAAGAATCTTAAAAATGGCAAGAGAAAAGC